AGAGAAAATCTTGGGGAACCAAAGAGCAGGTCTGTCTTTCTGTCATGCTGTGTAGCTGGCATTTTCTGAGTCGGCACATTTTGAGCCTGGCTGGTTCATGCCCTGGATGCTCAGCATGTCTCTCCCTTGCTGTTGGGCCGTGCCTGGGCATTTTCTCTGTGGTGCTGAGACATGGAAGAGTCAATGGGAGGGCTCCTTCACCTGATCTCTGTCACAGGGGCCAGGTGCAAAAGGACCTCGAATTTTCTACGGGAAGCAGGCTGACTTTTTTTTCCTGTCATATGCTGGAAAAATGGTTACAAGCCCTGTTGAAACATGCATACTAACAGCATTTAACTTCCTCATCTGTTCCAATTTTCAATAAATGCATTTAAATTACCAGTTGTTGGTGCGCTAACTACACTGTTTTGTCTTTCACCTGTGCTTGGATTTGAAATGCAAAACTGTAGATGACGATGCGAATTTTGCCTACTTTATTTGTGAAGTAGCATGTACATTTCTGGCATTTACCTTAAATGTTACGTATAATATGTAGTGCATCTGTTTGCCTTAATGATTAGAGGGACAGGTGAGAGAGGTACTGGACTCAGTACCATGGCTGCCAGCTGCTTTGATGGGGTGCATCAATGGGCTAATAATAATACTTTTGGATTTCTTGAAAGTTTTTGGTGCAGGCTGCTTGAAAATGATTAAGTAGAAATGTTACAGTACAAGCCAATGTCATATCTTAGCCAAGCCTGATGTGAAGAAAAATGGCTTACTTGCTGCTACGCTGCTTTGAAATGCGAGAACTTAAAATACAGGCATGAGTTTACTTTTCCTTTTGTTAGCCCGAGAGCTTGAGAAATGTGCAGAGCTGAGAACACAGACTTTTTTTTCCCCCTGTAACAACTTAAGGTTTCGAGCTTCTGCCGACGCAGAAGGAAATACCATTAGGTAGATACAAGAAAAGCCAATATTCCACGTTATTCGTGCAGACAACTAACGTTTGAAACTTGCATGAACTGCTTCCACTTAAAAGCTGTCAGTCACATTGGTTATAAAAAGCCCGGAGCACTTAGGGGCTGTCAGTCATTTCTCAAAGAGAGAGCTGACATCTTAACATTTACTTTGCCAGTATTTACCAGAGGCAGAAAACCAAAGGGTGAAAATGCAAACGGAAACACACGTTCTCACTGATCACATGGTGCAAGGGAAACATTTGGATCAGGTGTTGTAGTTGCTCACCTCGGAGCCTCCAGTCTTGAGAAGATTTTTCTCTTTTGCTCCGTAAATCGGACTGTTGCAGGCTGGCTCTGTGCTGCTGAAGGAAGAAAGGCTCTTGCAGGCAGTGGCTGTGGAGTCTGCAGTAGCATCGTCGGGCAAGGAAATAGGTTGACTCTGGGCTGTTATGACTAGGGGAGCAGCAAGAAACGTGCAGAAGACTTAAGAAGGGCACCTTGAAGGGCATCCACCTTTCTTTTTTTTTTTTTTTTCTTTTCTTATGCTAATAAGGATGTGGGTGTTGTGATTACCATAGACTGATGATATTTTCTCTTGCAAGAAGGGGATTGGCAGGGAAAGGTATAGGTGGGACTAGTTAATTCAAATATGTCTTCTACTCTTTACATGTAGGTTTCTAGATGTAGTTATCCCTGGACTGCTCTGAGAACTGGTCCTGGTGCTTCGGTGGGACTGCAGCTGTTGAAGCACTGCTCAGCACCTGGGACCTCCAGTCACGACCACTGCAGAAGGTCTCACTGCAACAGTAAGTGAGGTGCAGAGCTGCTGTGTACACTTATCACAGGCACGAATGCACTGTGCTACTCAAATGCTGAGCCCTGTTTCATGCAATACCACTCTGAGGTGTACACATGAAGGTAAAAGTGATGTTGTCCTTGAGGCTGCCTCCAGAAATTCAGTGAGGTCTTTTACTGTACCTGAGCAGCAAGTCTCATATTGCCAAAATGTGTGCTTGAAGCAGTCCATATGTGGCTGGTAGCTGTTTTTCTGATCAGACTGTCAGTCTATTAGCTAGCTCAGCCAAACACAGCAACTAAGGAAATGTTGAGGAACTCTGCTTTAGATACTTACTGCTATGAGTGCCTTGTAGAGTCTTCTGGAAGGTCCAGTCCAGCAGTGAGCAGTTTCCCCCATTCACTCTTCTTGGACTGGTGCAGCCCACATCTGCAGCATGTCATTCTCTGGTCAGTCCAGAGGTTTCGTTCCCTGTGCACATCCAAGTGTTAATGGTCTTGTAATCCTGACCCAGCCTCTGGCTCAGCAAGTCATCTTCCATGCAGGGTTCCTCAGGTAAGGAGTAGGGATAGGGAATAAGGATAATTATATAATATAATATGGATAACAAATAAGGATATGGAATTGTGCACCAGATTAAAACCTGTAAATGAGGTTTCTGGAGACATGTTTAAGTATAGATACTCGTGTATAAATTCGTAGAACCACAGAGTCATGTTCCCATTCAGATTCCCATTGTAGTCAATGAAAGTCCAATCCATGCAGATGTTGGAACTAAATGCTTTAATTTACCTTGGAGTAGACACCTCTCAGATATCAGCCGAATAGTTCTCTAAGCATCACTGACTATCTGGAGTAGGTTTCCCGTGGCCATTATAGGAATTCAGATAATTACTGCATATTAAGTTGCGTAAAACCTGCTTTGGTAGAAGGGTTGGACCCGATGATCTTTCGAGGTCCCTTCCAACCCCTACAGTTCTGTGATTCTGTGATTCTGTAATCTGCAACCAAATTCCACCCTGGGAGCCAGCTAGTGACAGATCTCTGGGGGACTTCTGCACCAGGTTTATAGCCTGGACTTGAAACTCGTGTTCCCACGTGTATGGAGCTACCACATTTTCTTTAGTAGTAGGGCTGTCTGATGTGGAATATGCACGCTTTAACCTTCCTGCATCTTTAGCTTGGATATAGGTAGTCCTACAGCTCCAGCAGCCCAGAGTTCACTTTGGATAAGTAGAGCAAGTATTTAGCAATTATTTTTGATCTGTGTGTGTGTGCGTATGTATGTATCCGAGTTGTATATTAAGCAGCGGTATGGAAAATATCAATTTAGGTTATGGATATGGATAAACTAATTACCTGTCAGTCGGGAAGGTCTTGCTGCTGAGCGCACAGAAGTGCCTACATGCACCTGTGCTTAAGGAAGCTGTGTCACATCACAAGCAGATTACAGCAGGGTTCAGGTAGTACAATGAGATCAAAGGATGGATACCAAGGAAAAAGCATTTTTCCACCATTTCTTCTATGCCATGTCCATCTATCACCTTATAAATGCGTCAGTACTGTATTCTCCAGTACTTTATTTTCATATTAGGGATTTCTTTCTTCCCTTAGGGAGACTTCTTTGTCTTCCTTTCAAGGGTAAATAAAGAATGCTCTTCACCATAATATATGTTAAAAAAAAAGGAACAGAAAACATCATGTCCCTATATACAGCTTGAATACCCGATAGATGTTTACATCAATTCTCTGCTTAGGTTTTAGAGCCAAAAAAAAAAAAGAGAAAGGCCATGTTTAGCATGGATCAGAGGTCGAGGGTAAGGGAAAGTTCAGTAGTTTAATATAAGAAAATTTGGAGTGAAGGTAGATTGAGAGTTTTCCTAATAGAGACATCTACTAGTATGGGTAATAGTCTCCTATGGTCCATGTAGGTGAAAAACACAGTGCAAAAGAGAGCTGCTGTTCCAGCCTCTTCTCTCCTTTGCACCCTGTGGTCCATATCTTGGGGCCCTCTCTTGTGCATGGCTCACAGGGTCAGGAAAACAAGCCACGGCTGCATGCACTGATTATCCCTTTGTTCCCCTCTATTGGTACAAAAAACTAGAAATCTCTTGAAGTCACAGCTTGGCGCTCTACCAAACAAAGAGATGATTGCAGCTGAGAGTGTCTAGGACTTGTCGGCCTCCAGCCTGCTGCATAGGTGTGGGCACCACATGTCATTCCCTGGAGGGCCGATTCCTTGTCTGCAGATTGTGAGCTGGAGACCCGTCCAGCTGCTGTACAGGTTACTCTTACTGGTTGAATGCCAGTGCGCAGTGTGGGGGATCTTGAGGGATCTTGGGATGAATTAAACACAAATTCCATTCATTCCTTCTTATCAGAGAATTTGAGGGTTAACTTGTTTTGTGCCTTAATTTGTAAAAGTCCAATCGTAAGCAGTTGGAAGAGACCTAACAAACTCAAGTCCCATCACCTCAAATTTGGACTGTTTAAGGTAAATTTCAGATCTTGTCATCAGTTCCTTTGGAAAAGTGGATTCTTCTAACCTGAGGGAACAGCTTCCCTACTTTTATCTTACAATCATAACTAGAATACAAGAGGAACCCCTTGCAGGCGAAGGAGAAGAGTAACTGACCTAAAATATTGACTTTGTTGTGGGAAAATCATCAGCTATCAATGGCTGCATGTACTTAAGATGACTTCTATCTCTGAACAGCATCCAAGCATTTAGACATGATCTTAAAAAAGATATTGAAATGACTTCTGAAATTGTCATTGTGATTTGATGGCTTTTGAGGCTTAACAGATTTAGGTAACATACCTTTAGGAAGGCCTTTTTCCTTACAGCTCTGGATGTTATAGGAAAATTTACTACAATTCTTGTGTGCCAATAGTAAAAAGGGTTAAACTGTGAAAAAAAATTTACTATAAAAAGCTGATTTTGTTGTAAAATGACTAATGGCATGGAATTCTAATATGCATGGGGATTTGAGAAAAGCAAACATTGAACATATTACCAAGTATCCTTGGAGCAGGACACAAGGCAAGTGCAGGTATTCCTTTTGCAAATTTCAGGCAACTTCCAGGACTGTTGCAAGAAGGCAGAGCTGAGTGTTGCTAGTGCCAAGCATTTGCGAGTCAGGTCCTGAAATGTCATGAGCCTGGTTTGGAGAAAAAAACAAACAAACAAACAAACAAACAAACAAAAAAAGTTGCAGTAATTTCTGGCTTAATTTTATTTGTCTTTTGACGTATTTGTACTTTTTTTTTTTTTCTTTTTCTTTTTTTAAGTCTTTAGGCTTTCCACTTTCTAGTTTTCTCCACCACAGCAAAGCTCTAATGCATGTTTTCTTCAGTAAGAGCTGAGATGACTGGAGCACTAAATGACTTGAGAAAAAGGGTCTTCAAGACAAACACCGAATCCTGTGAGATTCATAGTGAAGCTTTTGGTGTTGGCAGCATAAAAGGAGGGGGAATTTGCAAAGGCTCCCCAGAGAGAGGGGAATAAAGGGAGAGGGAGCTCCAGAGGGCCACCTGAAGAGTTCAGCCAGGCTTCTCCTCTGGATCACCGTGTTCTCCACTGGAGCTGCTGTAGAGAAAGGTAGCTTTTGTGAATAGCTCTTTGAGTGCCACACGAAGAGAGGCTTTTAATGTAAGGAGCTGCACGTGGCTGTGCTGATTTCCAACAACACAGGGGCTGTATATCTGCCCTGACCGACATGCGGCGCTCCGGCCACTCCGAGGGGCAGCGTTTGAGTGTGTGCGTGTCCATACCGAGCATTTGCTGCCGGATACCTGCCTGAGTTTGGGAAAGGGGTGATAAACAGGTTTGTGACAGCCCGTTTGATACGCTGTGACGCTAATAGCTTGAAGGAGCACTCGGTAGGTAGAGAAGCGCTGCGAGGGGTTAGTCAGTCACCAGCATGCTCACAGCGCCGTGCCAGCAGTGGGCTGTGAGTTGGAGCCAGACAGTTGGTGAGCTCTCCTGTAGGCATCCAGACAAGCCTGCTCCGAGATGACATTTGCTTCGCCACAGATCTGTCACGGCTCATTTTTCACAGCCCTGTTGAAGTGGCTTATTTATTATCGTCTGTTCTGGTGTTATATCCTGGACACGGGAGAACTGTTTTACCGCGCCGCGGTGCCAGGAATTCCTCGTCGCTGCGCAATCCGACGCCGGGAGAGCGCTCGGGGTAAGGCTGGACGCTTTCCTCAAGGCTGGTGCTGCTAAGGACGGGCACTCCAGCTGGAGCTGACGAGGCGGATCCGAGGCATTGCAGCACAAGTTAGTGGTTTGGTTCGTAAGTGACCTCTGAGTGAGGAGGTACCAGATTTGTCACACTTCCACGAGCCCCGGCTCTGGAAATCAAATCCAAGGCTGTAGTCAGCAGAACAACTTGACCTTGGATTTAGGCAGCCCTGTCATTAGCCCATGCGGGATCTGTCGAAGTCGCGTTATCAAGAGCAGCGGTTCTCAGCTGTGCTCCCCGCGTCCTGCAAAGCCAGGCTGCCTTAAAAGGTTAATGTTTTAAGGCACTGGGGTAGCCCACAGTGCATTCAAAAAGCTGACAGTGATCCATGAGCAGAGTGCTGGGGAATTACTGCCACTGCTGCCCTAGAGCAAGAAGTTTTCAGTGCTGCTGTTAACAGGAAAATGAGCTAATCTGTTTCAGGAATGGCAGCAGAACCTGGCTGCTGCGTTTTCCAGGCTTACTGAATCATTCTTACAATCTTCTTTCCTTGCCCTGTATCAAAATAACTCTCACGGCGCTTGAATGCTTTAAAACCATGTTTTTAGGAGAGCCGCTCACCTTTCTCCGGGTCTGCTCTTCTGATTGGATTTGTGTTGCTATGCTGGAATAATATTTCCCCAAATCCGTATCAGTATGATCAATTAAATTAGTGGCTAAAATCTGTCATCCAAGATGACTCTCTGTTGTTATGAGGAAGGAATCAGATTGATTTTCGTTGGAACCAGGCTAGTGCGAAATGTCAATTGCCATGGGAAAAAGTATCCTGCTGTATGTGCTGCAGAAAATGAAGCTGAGCCCATGGGGGAACACTTATGATCAGTGCATGTAGGTTTTAAAGTGATCCAGCACAAGAATGCATTTGTTTCTAATTGTTTTTGTTGTCTGTACAGGGGTAGAAGCGGGCGGTGGCGTGGCCCTGTTGTGCCTTGCACAACCACATGCTTGCAGTTGGAAGAATTTGAATGAAGCAGCAGATAACAGCAGTCCTTTCTCTAGCCTGCAGCGAGGAGGTAGGACTGATGGATTGCACGAGTTTAGGTGGAGGGGAACCAATGCCTGTTCTCCTTGGGCCAACAATTACAGCCATTTCACCCTACTGCTTCCCCCACTGGGCCCAGTTTAGCCCAGTCTAGCAGTGGCAATAGCAGGAGGCTTTTCTGTCAGAGTAATCAATGGTGGGGTTAGAGCAAGAATTCAGCTAGTTAGCTAGAATAAATGACCGGGGGCTTGAAGCAATGAAGGGCTATAGAGTGTTAAAAAAATGGGCTGAAGACTATCTAAAAAAGTGTTGTCACTTGCTGAGAAGGTTGCTTTGCCAGCTAGTCTAAGTCCAAATATTAATGTTGTTAGGATTTATTTTTTTTAAGAAACTGTAGCATGAATGGAAAATTTATGGAAGATTTTGAGGCTTCTCTATTTTTAAATAAAATGGAGCCTTGTTACTTCATTAGGGCATGCAAAGTGGCTAGAAACAAAACTAAAATTAATCTGTTATAATCCAACAGAATACAAAAGTGAGCATAAAACAATGATAGGAAAAATGAACCCAGATCTGCTGCTGAAGTCTAATAAAAGAAATGTAACAAGTAACAAAGGAAGCTCATTTTACTTGTTTTTGTGAAGTTGGTTGGATTAGCAATGTTCTGTGAAAATACTGTACCTCGGGCAACGGAGTGCAGGTTTTTCCAGAACGTGTTTAAATGTTCTCATTGCTCGTGTGCTACTAAAAAGGGAAAATTATAACACACGGTTCTCTGAATTCTAACCTGATGTTTTAATTTGCCAAACACAAGTGTGGAGTTGTTCAAAGATTTAATCTCTGCTGTCCCCGTCATTGCACAAAAACTTGCAGTTACCTGACAGAGAACCGCAGGAGGTAGGTGATGTTTGTGCCAGCCTGGCTGGGCACTCTGCATTATCCTCCATCGCCACCAAAGCGAGCTGATGAATCAGAGCAATTCTGGGTTTGCAGCTGTACAACCAGGAGCAGAAGTTGGCCTGTTGGTTCTTAACAGAGCTGGAGTGTGTTTATCTGTTAGGCAGGCTTCCTAATGAAAAAAAAAAGAGTCATTATGCATTAGGACAGGCTGTATTAATTATTAATCTCTCCTCCCACATGATGCAAGCAGTCTTTTATGAGCGCGTGGTCTGTTTCAACCAAATTTGACACTGGCCTGGGACGTATTAAGTGTCTGTGAAGTTCTCAGAAGGAGGTGGCTGGGAAGCAGTGAGGAACTGCTTAGGTTTGCAGGCTGCAGGACCCAGAACTTGGTGCGTGGTAGACATCAGAGCATCTGTGCCAGAACAAAACCCCTAGACAAGTGCTCGTGGGATCTACTGCTCGCGGAGCTGAAAAAACACTTGTTGATCCAGGCGGATTCTGCTTCTGCTCAGGGCTCTAAATAATTTTGTGTTTGTAAAATAGTCTTACAGGTACTAACTGGTGCTGACAGCCGAAGTGGTTATGCTACCAGCGGAAACAGAAGCAATAAAAAACATAGCAAAAGTGCCCTGCGTTGCCACGTGGCCAAAAAAGCATCTCAACATGGTTTTAAGATGCTGAATTTAGTAAATGTGCTATCTGCCGTGACCCTGCAGTGATTCTCATTTCATCAAGCAAAACCCAAATGTACGCATTTCGTTGTTTGTGTGGCATTTGTGTGCATGGTGGTATCTCTGCAGACCAAAAACCACTCTGATTAAACCTGTTGCTTGCAGATTCAGTGGTTTTAGCTAATTTCCTTTGTGCATTAAATTGCAATACCTTTCTCTTGTATTCAGGGAGCAATATACTGCTTGTGGCTAATTTTAACATCTCTGTGTTCCTGTGCACAGGAAGCTAAAAGATTCTGCTTTCTTGGCAGAAAACAGTGGTGAGTACAGATCCTATTAAATTTGAGTCAGTATGGTGATTTCTTTTGCAAGGGGAGAAAAATTGAGAGGAAACAATCGTACAAAGTCCACATGAAAAAGATTATCTGTTAAGAAAAAAGCCTGGCTAGCTGATGTACCATGGTCTCATTTTCAAAAGCTACTTAACCTCCTGGGTGTCCAGCAAACCTCGGACACCTTCAAGTGAGGTCTTGTGGTGTGGAGCTCCCAGAAGCTTTGGGCTGAGTCTAGAGCTGCCATTCAGCCCTTCAGCTCCCCACACAGGGATACCAAAGCTGTGGTCCTTGGGCCAGATCTGCAGTCCATACCCTCCTGCTGCCTTTCTCAAGGGTCCCACAGGTCTGTCAGGGTCTGATGGGGATCCGTGTTGGTCCTGGTGACCCAGCTACAGCAGGATTTTTCATCTTTTTCTGACATTAGTTTTGCGCAAGGTTGTTCTCATAGCCCTGCCTCAAAGTTTGCATTTACTTCACAGGGCAGGGTAGCGTGTCACAAGCTCACACTGATGAAAATGGGGGTGGTGTGTGTGTGTGTACAAATTCTCGTGTCATTTCTGCTTGCTCTGCTGCTATTTCATTTTACTTAGTCTTCCCTGTTTCTGTTTTCATCGCATTCCCTGTCTTCTTACTCTCTGCTTTTCTACTTGGTCCACCTTTCCTAAATATCCATATTAATTCAATCAGCAAGTAAACCATTAAATGAGGAATCCTGCAGTTTGAATACAAAACTCTGATTCATACAGGAAGTGGTTTTTTCTTTGTTTTAATGAAAACAGGCTCAGCAGCTCACAGACACACACACACAAAAAAAAAAAGCACATGGAAAATGTGTGTAATCTATTTGTGCTTCAGCTTTGAGGAAAATGTTTATGTTGTGCCATGGTTAATACAAATTAAATTATTGTTAAATTCCCAAATGATTTTTTTGTTGTTTGACAGTGGGATAGGCCCATGCCTTTTTTTATTTGTAGGAACAAGCAGAAAACAGAAAATGGTCTTACTGAAATGATTTGTTGTTTTGGTTTACAACCATGAAAGGGAATGGCATTTGCTGGGCTGCATGTGTCCCCGGCTGTGGGCAGCACACATTTCTATGGTTAGGATGTAAGATTATTCCTAGAAAAAAAATACCGAGTTGTCTTCCAGCCCTTAAGTCAGGCTTGTATGTCGGATGTGTATGAAAGTGGCTAATGTGTGCCTACAATAAGCTTCACTCTTCCAAAAACTGATAATCATAAGCACACTTCGTTGCATTTCCACAGAACCTCCGGCTCTCTTTTCCTTAAAGCTTCTGAAATTTGCATCAAATTTATGAATGAACCGAATACAAATGATCTGCAAGTTAAAGGACAGTCTACCTGTGCTACTTCCAAAGCTATTAGCCTTGCTTAAAAGAGTAGCACTTTTCAGATGTAAAATATTGGCAGGGGTTAGGACATAAATGCACTGTTTTTTCCCCTCTTTGCTTTGTGGATCTCGGATTCAATTATGCTTTCTGCGAGGCTGTGCAAAGTTGCATTTAAAATTCAAAAGTTCAAGTACAATTTATTAGGGCTGATTAGTTTCTGTTCAGGAAACATGGGTACCTTTTCAAAGCTATTTTTTATCTTCGTAGTAACTGCGAGATTCACCTGTGGCTTTGGAAAGAAAATATTAAGAGCAGTTTTAATATAAAAAATGGAGGAAATGCCATTTTTCAAGAAGAGAATAATCCAGGCTCCTTACTTTTTCCTACCTCTGCCATCCATCCGCAATGGGCTAGAAGGAATTATTGGTGATATGGAGAATTGAAATGCCTTTTTCATTTACAGGGCATATAGCCACCAAGCTGAGGGTCAAGGTGTCTTTTAGATAAATAAAGCAGTGAAGAAAACAAAGAACTACTGCTCTGTAAAAAATCAGAAATACTTAACGAAAGGTGAAAGCAAGCCATACCACAATGCTTATTTCTTGCCAGAGATCCTTCCACACCTGCAAGTCACACGGGGTAAATAGGGAGGCTTTGTAGTGTGACCCACAGGGTCTTTGGGACCAGTGTAGAATATTAGTTCCAAAGTCATGAAAGATTATTTCTCTCTAGAGCAATTTCTAGGACTTCATTTTGTAGCAAAGTTTGCCAATCAAAAGTTCCAAAATCACAAGTCCCTCTTCCTCTGCTAAAAGACTGAGATTTTTTTTGCATGCTATAAACTTTACTTTTTTTGTTTTTCCTCATTACTTCTGGCTCTCTCTCTTTCTCTTCAGTCACACAACTAGCCAAAATTTCCTTTTCAGTAAGGTCACTGAAAATTTCCAGTTAATGTGGTAACTTACGATTTTAAGAAAAATTAGTTGTGCAAAAATTGGTTTCACAGGAAAACAGCTCCTTAAACTTCGGGGTTTATTGTCATCAGAAAAATATCTACAATTCAATTAGTGTTCAGGAAATATATCCTATAGTAATAGGGATTTTTTTTTTTTTAATTTTGTTATGAAAAAAAGATAATTCTGAGCACGCAGGATTTTATGGGGTAATAACTTGAGAAATTAACTTAATCTTCATTGCAATGAGAAGTTTAAAATCAGCAAGTACAGGATGAGCATACAGATTAAGCAACACCAGGGAAAATATGAAAGGCTTACAGTTTTAGCTCTACATTTGCTACTGTACATATGGAACTAAGAGACTGCAAATCACATGGGTTAATGAATCCAGTCCTTGCTTCTGACCTGCAATTCGCAAAAAAAAAATGTGCTTTTGTCTTAGAGAAGTCTCTGTGGGATATACTAGAATACATTACTTTGTTTGCAAAGTTGGAACCTTGTGTTATATTCATGATTTTCTTTCAATTTTGTTCTTTCTATTCTAGCTTTCTGGAAATTTCAAATTTGCCTTTACATGTTTATTTAAAAACATATTGAAAATAGCCTTCTACCAAAATGTCATCTCTTTTTAGCATTTTAAGGAAACTTCAATGTTCTTGTTGGGTGTGATTATTTTTCTTCTTTTTCTGGACTCAGGTGGTGTTTTATAAAATGAGAGCGAGGTTGTTTTCATTTCTTTTGTTTTCCTCTCTCTCTTCCCTCTGCCTATACCCTCCCTTGAAATTCAGCTAGCAGAACCGAGATTTTTGTCTCTATAATCATACATTGTCAACAATGACAAGAGGTGTAATTACCTTCATAATCAGATTATATCATGAATCACAATCTCTCAAATGTTTAATTTCGTTGGCTGTGAGTCCAGACAGCTACCCACAACTGCCAAGTACATAAATGTTTGCCGGTCTGTTATTTGTTTCCATAAACTCAAGTGCAACTAACTTGTAAAAAGTATTAGTCTCCTGTTCAGGAGTTTTAAAGAAATCACCATGTTTCTATAGCAAAGATTCAGTCGCTCTGAAGTCATCGCGTGTGCACATATCAGCCTTGGATTTCAACGGGGAAGGATTTTTATTTTTTAAACTTGGTTTGGGTTAAATTCTTGCTATAAGCAAAGTTAAAAGTACTGCCACTTAGAGGACAAGGGAGCATGAGAGAACGCAGCTTGCTGGATTCATCTGGACCAGACTGAGAGGATTGGATAAAGCCTAATGAATTAAACAGGCTTTTGAAAAATCACTGGTATTTTAAATAGCAACTTTGGACTTGTTCAATTGCTCCAGAGACTTAAAATGGTGTGGTAGGTCACTGTCAGAGACTTCAGCTTAAGAATAAGGGTCAAATCTTGGTGCTGTGCAAATGAACAACAAAAGTCCCTTAGATCCCAGAAAGGGGTCGTGATTTAACCCAGAGTCCAGCTTTTTCCCCTTGCCAAAGCAGACGCTGAAACACAAAACAATTGCCGGAGAGAGCAAAGGAGAAGAGAGAATTTTCCATTCTCAAACAGGCATTAATCAAACAAGCCATTTTGTAAAGGAAGACATAATAAAGAAGGCTTACTCACAGTTAAGGGAATTTTTATGTCCCGGGGTTTGTCCAGCTTTGCCAAGCTAAGTCGAAAACAAGGCGGGAGGGGGGAGAAGGCCATAGAAAGAAGTATCTTGGCTACTCTGAGCCAGTGCAGAGAATGAAGCACCTCAAGTTCTTGAGCTATTTTTAAAGCATACGTCCAAAGAAGAACATCAGAAAAAAAGCCCAGAACTGTAGTGAAAGTGTAAGTGGACCTAGATCAACGGGAAGTTTGCTGTGATTCTGACAAGCTTTAATTTGCCAAAACTGTGCTTGTACTGCAGTAGTTTCCCTATATCCCCACAGTGCAGATGTCTTCAGGAGTAGGAGGGTTGCTCCTCCCATTCCAGTTTCCTAGAAATGGATGAAAGCTTAAAGATTTCTACATGCAGCATTATTTTTTTTTTTTCCCACCAGCAGACCTATTTCTCAACTGGAATTTTTCATTTCCCTCTCTATGCAGAAGTCTTTTGCAGTTCCTTGCCGCTGGGGGCAATCTAATACAGATATTGACTTGGCCAGCACTGCTGGTTCTTTGCAACCACCGTCCTGTGGAGTTCATTACAGTTCAACCATCTAACTTAGAAGAAAGAAATGGTACACTAAGGCCAGATTAAAAAATAAATAATAAAAAAATAAAATAAATACATCTACTCTGTTTCACTAGAAAATGAGGAGATGTTTATCTCTGAGTAAGAAGGAAAGATGATAGCAACTTTAAGATTTAAATTGATCCAAGTATATGATGCTAAAGATCCTAAATGGTTTCAAATTGCGGAAGATTATCTTGTAATTTGTATATATTGCTTCTGTAGGCTGCTGAGGAAGCTAATTGCGATACATCCTGTGGTTAAGTTATCATCTTTCTCAATGACTGAAGATCATAATTTTATCTTTAGGTGAGTTTAATGCTCTCCGTCTGTTACGTTCATTTGTATGCTGGAGCAGTGCTGACAAGCCTCCTGTTGTTCCATGTAGCATTTGTGTCAGCCAACCAAGTTAGGGGAAGATTCACCTCTATGAAATTACAACGCTGGAAATGAGCTCAGCCTCCAGAGAACCACATTTCTTTTTTTCTTTAAATGTGGCCAGCGAATAGCGTCTGAGGCTGGAAAGAGGCTCTTGGTCTGCGTTCACGTGGATCCTGACCGACCTGAGTGCTCATCTGCAAATAGCAAAGCAGGTAGAGATGAGAGATACCAGCGGTGGGGAAAGCTGGTTGTTGTCATGAGCAGCATTCCCCTTGCTGCATGATGACTACACGATAAGAGCAGCCTACACAGGGCAACTGCCACGAAAACGGGAGATGTGATCGCCTCCATTTGCTCTCACCTCAGGCAGCAGGAGCATGGGCCCCCGGAGGAACAGCTGCACGCACCAGCTTTGTTCCAGTGTTGTATTTTATTCTTTAGCTAACATAGCAGATACTGGCCAGGTCAGAGACACTGCCAGGGAAACTTTTGTTTCCTTAAGCAGAAGGGTAAATGAAACACTGGAAGGGTTTCTTAATTCTCAAATGTTTTTTTTATATACAGGCGGGGTGCTGTGAAAGACCGTGCTAATTCTGTCCCTGTAGCATCCAGTTGGATAGATGGGGAGTTGTGGCAGAGCTCAATATATTCTTCTGCTGCCACGTTCTCTTCTTTTGAAATGCTCTCCTAGCTCTTCTACAGCACAGATTTGGATCTTTTGCATATGAGGCTCTTTTCTTAGCTTGCTAAAGTGAAAAGTGCGTGGGGAATGACAAAAGGAAGATGCATGTAACCACAAAGCAAGGGCAGGAGCAAATTATTTCCAGCTATCTTAAAAAGACGTGTAGGTTTGAAAAACTAAAAAAAAAAAACTAAAAAAATCTAGGAATGTATGGCTGCTTTTTGTAAGTACTCACACTTCAGTGATTTATCTCTGACAAGCCCCAGATGAGACAACAAGGTAATCCTGGCAGTTCTGGTCATAGGAAGGGTGCCCCTGTAATGGAGCAAAGTTTGAGGAAGAAAAGGTAGGAGAAGGAGAAGAAAATAGCTTAGCAGACTTGGGTGCGGAATTAGTTTAGGGTAGATGTGAAATCATCCCTCCTGGATCTGAGTACAGCCTCCAAAAATGTTTAGGACTATTTGGTTTGGATTTAGGCCTGGCTTTGGGAGACAACCTGGAGCTTCATCCAATGTGAAGTTTGCCATTATTCATGCTAATTAAAGGACAGAAGTCAGGGCTTGTTGTTTCTGTTCAGCAGCAGGAGACGAAGTGAAGGAAACCCTTCTCTTTGGAGTCAATAATTAGATCTGGTGTCAACACGCTTGAGTAAGCGTCGTGTTTAGGGCAGGAATGTTGCTGGGCACCGGGTTGTGGGGATGGGGATGGTGAAGAGGCGGTTTCCAGCGGAGGTGACCAGACTTGCGGGCTGCTGGATGATGAGATGTGGGCTGGGGATAGATGTGGGATAAGGAGATGGGAGATGGCCAAGGTGCTAGCTCTTGGTATGGCTGCTGGCTGTGCGTGGCACCACTGTTGGACAATTTGAGCGAAACGATGTACCAGGGCGGCAGGGACGTGCAGCTTTTCCATTTGAGGGTGAAAACATGCTCGGAGTGGCCGTCTTGCTTTCTCCTCTCGTTATTAGCTGCCCTTCTGGCTGCGATCTGCCGCTTAGGTTGTGACATGCCTCGGCGGTGCTTGGAGGGGAAGGAAGCGGCGCGATATGTCTTTGACTTTACACCGCATGTTGCAGAACGCTGCAGTTCACTCTCACATTTTATAAAATCAATTTCCATTCTGTCATGGTATTTCACACATTCGCATTCTGAATAAGTTAGAGAATATTCTACAACTCACGAAAATAACTTTAGTTTTAATTTTTCCCATTACATGAAGGAACCTATCCATACTTGATCTGTTACAGATGGAAAAACTACATATGGAGAAGTCAGATCTATTAATTAGTTTATAAGCACAAAGTCCCCTAAAGAGTGCCACAGATCCATGTGTTATTCTTAAGAGCTGTCTGAAGTACTTGCACTGAATAATTTATTTCAATTTAGCCCTGTTTCTGCTGTTAATTATCTAAGATCAGACTTTTCTTTTTGGGACTTTTTTTTTTAAACCATTCTACACATTACCTAAATTCACTGCAATGCTCTCTGAACATATTTCAGCCTGCTGATGTATTTAAACCATCAACACTCATTGACTGTTCTCTGTTGTCTTTAAGGAACGATAGGATGATTACTAACTTCTGTGGTTTTTAATCCTTCAGTCATTAAATCCTAGGAGGAAGGAGAGCGGGGGTAGCAGAATTGGATGATCAACCTCCTGGAAACTCCCAACAGCATTATTTTTTATTTTATCTTTGATGACTCTTTTGAGGCCCTAGCTAAGGACCTGGCTCTGCTGTGCTAGGCCAAGCAGCATCTTCCCAATGTTGTGGAGCTCTTTTGTGTTGGAGACTATCTGGTAAAACTAAACTAAAAAAAAAGCCCTAAACTAAACTAAGTTCTGCTAAAATCTGTGCGTTTTTGCCACCGTATGTTTTATTCTTCTAGCATCACCCCATGAAATGTTGTCTCCCCTATGCTGAGCAAGGTAAAAATCATGTTGGACATGCTATCCCAGAGAGTAGGGTCAGATCTGGTGAGGGTCTGTAGGCACTTCGAGATAAGGGATATTTGCTGTCATCCTCAAGGGCAAAGCGAAGTCACTGATGGGATTGCTGGGAACACTGGTTACAGCTTTAGCTATCAGAATACCTTTTAAAACCTGTCCCTTATCCAAAATAGAACAGAAAAGCAAAAAGAACTGGAGAAAAATGTCTGCAACCCTGTTTTTCCCAGAGGGCCTCAAAGGAGAAGGTGACCTTCCCAGAATTAGATAGAGAACCTGAAGCAGTGCTGGACTTTGAACCCAGGTCTCCCAGCGTGTTGCCATAAATACAGGACACAGAACCGCGTTTGGACAATGAACAGGAAAATGGGTCAAAAATAAAAATCAAGGTAATTTACAGGTGTGTATGAGAGAATACTTGCAGATGTGTCCTCTTGTTCATTCCTCTCTGTCAGTACTATGTGTTGCATTTGCAACTCTGTAATAGCTGAAAGATTTAAATAGCTCCATTTGATTTATTAATTTATTTAGGTAACTCCCTCTGGTGCAATTCATGTAGTTGTGCATTTTTATATTCCAGTAAGTCAGCGAAATGCAATGTGTTGATGCCCAGCTCGAATGTAAGCAAATAAACACCATGTAGGGACCCACTTCTTTTGATTAGGTCACGCTTTAATTAAGTTTTCTGTGTGTCTTCCTACCTCTCCCTGGACGCTACGGCCGGCAGCAGGCTTTTAGTACCGCCGCGATTTGGCACCGAGACTCCTGGGCTACCGCCAGGCCTTGCACACAAAGGCTGCCTTGATAGGCTTGTGATAAGGGCTCAGCGGGAGATAAGGGTTACGCTTTGGCCCGATGGCTCGACCTTGCTCTCGTTGAGCCAGCAGCAAGAGCCCAGCTGATCACAAGGAGAGCGGGAGGCGGTGGTGCCTTTTCGTTCCCCAGCGCTGCGTGGAGGCAGATGGGAGGGAGCGCTTGTGGTGCTGCTGAGTGCAGTTTGTTGATACACAGGTGCCTGTTCGTGCGAGAATCAGGCCTTCTTTTGGCACGGCAGCTCTATGTATCCGTGTTTTGTGTGTGAACGCAATGTTTGTCAGGCACCAGTTTGGCAGCGCTGGAGACGGCGGCTCTCCCTGCGCTGGGTGTCTGGCTTGGCGGTGCTGAACCGACGAGCTGCGTTGCGACGCGTGCCAGTGTATCAGAAGGCAGGTCTGAGACATGGGTGCGTGTTCCCCGAGCCTGTTAATCCTCTCAGGCTGTAGCCACACAGTTGAGTTTGGTATTCTCATCACCTAAATTCCTAAATGTACTTCTGAGGCACATTCCCTTCTAGCGCAAGCTGCCCAAACATCTGTGGCGAGACTAAGGAAAACATGGAGAAAAAGACCCGGAGATGAATATTTCAGCAGAAACGTGGGAAGGAATGCAATGTAGCTCACGCAAAACCTTCTGTAGTGTATGCCATAAATTAACACAATATAAATTTATACATATTTACACCACATAGACTAAAATATATAAATCCTCAATACTCAGCCTTCTGTAGTAGGTGTAAGCAAGCAGTCCATATGCTTAGCTGATTTCTGGGGAGCTCTAGGGAACAAAATGTATCTTTGTGGAACTTATGATATTAAGGAGATTATAAACTAGGGTAATCAGTGCGGCTCACAAAATGGGTTGTCTTTTCTGCAGGCTGGAAACAAGCAGCAAATTCCCAATTTGCTATCTAAGGTTCTAATTCAGCCAGGTGCTAAAATACACATGTAACGCTTAAGCGCATGAATAGTCCTATTGATGTCGAAGGCCTAAAGATCAATCCATCGCTCGCTGGATTTTCCTGGC